CGGACTTTCCTTAGCATTGCCCCTCTGTGCCTCTGGACAGAATCCTGCACCAAGGATGGGTGAAACACAAACAATTGAACCACCTGGCATGTGGTGCAAAATTGTCTCAATCCAAGTCTGGAGCACCAGGAAAGTCATATTGCCAGAAACAGCTTCTTTTCGTGTACCCTAAATTGAAAAAGTCGTTGCTTCGGAGACCCCCCAGTTTCATCAATAGCGCCCGTAACCTGATTGCCAAGCTTCCGGAAATGTCATAGATGCAGCTGTCCACCTCCTGAGAGCGCAGGCAAAAAAGGCGAGTCACTTTCAAAACCTCCGGTGTACCTGGCCTCCCTCCAGTGTACCGTATCCGTGGTGACGCAACAAACGCGAATGTCAAGGTCATGAACAGGTGCTCGTGCAAGCCGGGGAAAGATACGAAATCAGGTTGTAGCAAACTCTTGGATCCCGGGCAAAATGAGCTGGCTCCGTCTGAGTCCAGAACAGAACAGCATCATGAACTCCAAAGCCACTCATGTCCGTCTAGCAAAACTCAGCATAACTTCAAATGGTCAGAATGAACAATGTAAGAATGCTAAATGATGCTACTACATGACCTGTCAAGAAAAATAGGGCTCTCAAATGAGGAAATGGGCCCCAACATGCTTCCTTTTGGTACCCTTTAAATTTGAAACAAATCCCCCAAACAAGTACTACGCACGTTTGAGTTCTACAGCAAGCCATCCGGACTGCAAGTGTCACAACTCGACCCTTTTGTGCCATCGATGTTCGGGGGTCATGTAGTTCAAGCTAAAAGCCCAAAGAGCCGACTGCCCACACTGCCCGTAGGCAGCACTGCAGATCAGCATGACACAATTTGTCAAGCTTCTCCTGAAAAACCTTCAAATCAAAACAATGCACCCAACCAATAGACTCGACCGAAATACACACTCAAAGCCGAAACAACCATACATCCACCAGCACAACACAACAAATGAAGACGTCAAGAACCATCCCTACAACCATCCCCAATGAATCAACACCCAATTCGATAGCCCCAGGCAAAGGGTGCCTTGCAACCCTGACAATCTGGAGAGTCGTGGTTTGAGGATGCACAGGACAAATGGTACAGGCAATGAGGGGCCTTCCAAGAGCAAAGAAGCAGTGCCTGATTGAGCTTATTTTGGGGGGTGGTCTGTGTGGCAAGAACGAAATCGCAAAAGGGTCCCAGCAGCTTGCAACGCAACTTGAAGCGATCCTATGTGTATCATGTTTTGAATTTGTGTGGACATCGTGCGAAAGCTTTGATTGGCTTCCCCAAGCGAACATCCGATCAATACAACAAACTTCCCAATGTGCGTATCTTTTCTTGATGATGCCTGTTCGGGGTGGTTTTTGTGACAAACTTCGAGAGAACCACGTCCTCTGTCTTTTTTTCTTGGGGCATACCCCAGGAAACCCCATAGTGAGAGGGGCCCGCAGCCCATCCAAAAGTCGAAAGGGAACCTTTAGAAAGAAGAACCATCCCCCAAAACAAGCAGCGACCCAACGGGAGGCACCAAAAGGAGGCAAAATGCGCCAAAAGGGAGGCACCATCAGAAAGAAAAGCACCAAAAGGAGCGACCACAAAAGCACTGGTCCCAGGAGCCGGCGCCACGCAGGGCAGGCACATGGTGATGCTGACGCTACCGGGGCTTTGCGGTCCGCATAGGGCAAAGGCGGCAACCACCTGGCTGTGGTGGGTGTTTTCATGTTTTCTTTTTTTGTGTGCGGAAATGCCCCAAAACACGGCACAAACTGGAGGTTTCTCGAATAGAGGTCCTCAAACGGGTTGTCCTCTTTGGTTTCCCGCTAACCAGGAACCAGCAACGGGTTCACCATTCCGCGATACATCTAACTTTAGTTTTGAGCGGCCTATTCATGATATGTTTAAGGCTATCTCTTCTTGGTAAAGCTCTTGATGGAGAAGATTCCTGGAGACCATAACTATTTGCAGGGAAGAACCATAGCTCTTGGGAAGACAACCCCTGACAACCAAACCAATCCAACATGACCCAAGGAAAGGACATTGGCCATCCAAGCCTTGCAGCTGAGCCATGCACTTCTCAACACCAGGCCGGCCCTGTCAGGCATTAATCCAAAGGATGGGCGGATGGACGGATGGACGGATGGAGGAATTGATGCATAGATGCATGAAGGAAGGCAGGCAGGCAGGAAGGACGGAGGAAGGAAGGGCAAAAGGAAGAAAGGATAAAAGCATGGATGGATGGATGGATGGATGGATGGATGGATGGATGGATGGATGGATGGATGGATGGATGGATGGATGGATGGATGGATGGATGGATGGATGGATGGATGGATGGATGGATGGATGGATGGATGGATGGATGGATGGATGGATGGATGGATGGATGGATGGATGGATGGATGGATGGATGGATGGATGCATGGAGGGACGGACAAAGGACGGATGGATGCATGGATTCTTGGTGCATGCATGCATGGATGGATGGATGCATGGATGCATGCATGCACGCATGCAGGCATGGAAGAATCAAAGGAAGGATGACAGGAAGGAAGACAGGAAGGAAGACAGGAAGGAAGACAGGAAGAAAGGAAGGAAGGAAGGAAGGAAGGAAGCAAGAAAGGAAGAAAAGGATGGATTGAAGGACGAAGGGACAAATGCATGGGTGCACGGATGCATGGGTGCAGGGATGCATGGATGCTCTTTTGTTCTCGTCACTGGGGAAGACTCTGTGGCAGTCAATGGTCAATGTTTCTTCGTTTTGATGGTGCTATATCTGTAAAATCCTTGACATGGAGGAGAGAGGAATGGGATTATGGCCCTCTTCATCTGTGTACATCAAAACCATTTTCCCCACTATGTCCTACGAACTGTTCGATCGGGGAAAAAACAAACTATGATAACACACAGTCATGAATCATGTTGATATACTATTAGTCTTTCATATCTTCATTCTATGATTTTACTATAATACTTTAATCAATGTTGTTTCTTGACCTCTTGACAAACTGATACTCCAACCTCCATTCACATCCTAAAGTCGTTAATTGTGTTGCATTCTGATGAAGTGAGCCCGAGGGACGAGGAACAGGCGAAGGAAAAAGGATGCCATGGCGAACGATGGGAGAAAAGAACGGGCTTCATCTCTCTATCTCTTTCTATCTTACGACGTACCCGCTCTTCCACAATTCTGTGTGCTAAGCCCTGAGTGCCCATGAGAGATAGAATGCTTCTTCGATGAGAGGAGAGATTCTGGAAGCCATCATGCTGCAAATCGGTCATAGGTGGGAGGGAAGGGCCATAAAGGGATGAATAAAGGCTTCCCTGTAGACACCTCATGTTTTTCGGTAGACATCTCTTGATTGGTGAGGTTCTCATAAAGTCAAATATGATGGGACATGAAGGGATGTCACCCTGGGTAAGATCTCTTGAAAAGTCCTCTTTGCAAGAGATGGGACATACCTTTCAACGACTGGAATTCGTTGTAATCTTTAGATGATGGAAACCATTTGACAGGCAAGCAATAGGGACTCCAGAACAATGTCGAAGAGATGTACGGACCCAACCCATGTTTGCACATGTCTTCCCATTCCGTTATTGCTTGTCTGTTGGGTCCTGATGCTCTATTCATACTATTTCCATCCTTCATTGTGACCCATCATCTCTCTCTAGAAGTGAATGATTACAAAGTATTAACAAAGACAAAAATGTAGAGGTTCAAATTCTGTCTGTATTAGGAATTCTTGTTTATCAGGATTCAACGGATGTACCGCCAACTCTCTGTCTCGTCCCTTCACTCCCAGCCTCAATTCAACCGCTGGGAGTGAAGAGAACTATCTCAGCTGGGTATGGGTTCTTCTCTCTCACCGCGTCCATGTCAAGGATTCCCTCCCTGTGCTCACTCCCCTCGCTCCCATATAGACGAGGCTTAGGAGCAAGCTAAGATGTGTGAACGGATAATTCTGGAAGATCTCCATGGCAAAGACATTCTTTAGTTTAAAATGTCATCTCTCTCACGCGCTTCCCTCCCCTCCATCTTTTGGCTGTGGAAGAGAGAGAAAACACTTCATTTGTTCTATTTTCTTAGAATGTCAACATTTGATGTCATATCTTGTTGACCGGCGAGGAGGGAAATTCACTCACTGTCTGTCCTCTCTTTTCCAGTAATCTCTCTCTCTCTCACACATTCTTGTTCCACATCCTAAAGTGATTCCATGATATGTGAGACAAAGCAAGATCATGAGAGAGGCACGGCCATTACGAGATTCGAAGAAGAAAAACAATACATATGTATATATGTATAAGCAAATAGCGTGTGATGAGATAGAGAGGATTGGAAAGCCGACAAAATGAAAATCAATGAAGCAATCAATTTGCGTTGTTACCATCCTCTCCCCTTCCTTCTCCGTTCCATCTCCTACCAAATGAAGGGAGATGGAGTATGAAGGGGCAGAGAGGCGGCGTCCTTGTCGCATGGATGCATGGAAGACATGGAAGGCATGGAGGCCTCCATGCCTGGCGGGAGAGGGATGGATGAACCGGGGCGCAGTGCCTACCATTGCAGCCGTCGCTCCGGCATTGGGACCATTGCGGTCAGACCCCCCCGAGGAATCCGCAGGCCGGCAGTTTTTGGTGCAAAGCGGAGCAGCCCAAACAACCAATGTATCCAATGACAGCCAGCGCCTGGGTGAGGTAGAGAAGCATCTGGCCTGACTGCAGAAGGCTTGCCACACCAACTTTCTGGGCCGTGTCACCTCAAATCCTTCAGACGTGATTGTGGTATTTGCCCCTACATGATCTTTGTTGGGAGGTTCAACAGCAGCGTCTCGAGTGATGGCCACTGCTTTCCATAGCCAGTTTCCAAAAGTGAAGCCAAAGCCATCTGCCAACTCGGAGGGCAACCCGTTGAATTTCAACAGCGCAGAAACTCTGTTGGTGCACAAAATAATGCACCTGTGCCAGTGGGAAGTTCATCCCATTATTGGCAAGGGTAGTGAAGGATTTTGTCCACCATGCCATTCGGCTTCTGACTCTCTGAAAATCTTGGGATCCCGACGCTGGCCATGCTCGAGCATAGGCAGGCGAAAAATCAAACAAGTTATCTGGGCTCGTGAACTGCTGGGGCTATTGGGTGGACCAGTGGTTCTGTCCAGCGCTTCTGGCTTCCTGTTTGCACGCTGCACTGGTCATGGGCCAAACTCGAAGCACGGATGCCTGGATCTGGTTCTCTGCTGCTGTGCCTGTTCAGAAGAACACAGATGACAGTCACGTGAAAGCAGGATTGGCGCCTCTGTTCCCAAACGAAATGTTGGCCCACTTTCCAAAGAAATGCTGCCAATGTGAACGGCAATCGGACGACGAGCTCGCAGTCAAAGTGCGGATTCATGTCCCACGCGGCAAAATATTGCGTGGCAGGACTTTCCAAGAGCAAGTGTTTAATGAACACCAACAGTATATTCTATAGTCGTCTGACTTAGAAAGCATTGTGTTCCTGACACTCAGGCGGACAGCATTCCAAGTAGCGTGATTGTACCTATGTTCAAGAAGACATGTCACTGTATCGCCTTTGGGCAAATGTCAACCGTGTATCATTCTTGCTCAGCCACCAATTGATTCAAGCTGGCCCTGTCCATCCCAATGCGTGGAACACTGGAAACTGTTTCTGGGTTGGTCAATAACGCTAAGAGATTCCTAGGCTTAGAGCTCCCCCTGGCACCCAAAGCTCGGCCGAAACGCTTGCCGCTTGCTTTTCCTCACTGGCCGCACATGTCAAGCTCCTGAGCAAAAGTTAGCACACCATACTCGGAACAACATCACACGTTGTCTATAGTCAGGATTGTCCAAAGAAAGGACCCTCCACCTTTTTGTCTGCCTTCCCAAAACACTATACAAGCAACAAATCTGGTGGCAACCCAATTCCTCGACGCCGCGGCAAGTTCCAATCGGCGAGGCTCCAAACAAAAGCGTCCAAGGAATACACAGAACACAACATGTGGCTGGTGTCAAAGGCACCAGGAAGAAAGGCATGCCAACTCGCCAACACAACTCCGCCCTGCAAGCATCAGTCTGTCCTGATATCTTGCCGCTGAACCTGCTCACTCCTGCCGAGCTCACAGTGCAAGGCATGAAGGATCTTGATTGACCGTGAAAAATACCTCCATAGAGTGTCACAGCGGATGCGTGGCCTCTTGATTTGATCAACCAGCTGGTTGCAGTCTCAGACCAGAACATGGCCGAGAATTCTTCCTTTTCTTCCGGAGATGCCCAGTGCTCTTGGCTGCTTCCAGCCAACCTCAAAGACCACACAATTGGCTCACGCCTTCCTAAGAAGCAGGCCAAATATGGCCTAAGTTCTACGAGCTCGGAAAAGCACCATTCTTTAAGCTGTTGATTTGGGTGATGGTAGGTAGGCGCTATTGGCTTCCGTACATTCCCATCTCTCGCATGTCCTTCCCTTCCTTGCAGCGAAGTCTCAAAATGGGCTTGTTTCACAATAGGGCAACCCCAAAACTTGGTGGTTTCCCTTTTGTCCTTTGAACGACCCCTAAATGGGAACACTCAAACAATGAGGGCACGGAACTGTCGCAATGCACCTTTTGTCAACTGTTGATATGTGTGCGTATGCAAGTCTGTATCAGTTGGTTGCTCTTGTCTTGCTTTTGTTGCGCTCATGTTGAATGAATTGAGTTTGAATGTTGACTGATGTGTAAAGGAATTTATAGTGGAAAGGAACTCCTGTGCAAAAATAAACATTTTAACTAGAATCGTATTTTTAGTTTCTAGTATTAAATAGGTTTTGGTTTGGCGTTCTCGTGTTTTTCTGGAAACACGGGAATGAATTTGAGCAGCGGGAATAACAAAAAAACATTTACGCACATCCCTCAAAAACAACAGACACACACACACACACAATTTACACAGGTCTAAAAACACGCACAAATGCACTGCCACAGTCCCCTCAAAAACACACCCAAATGCTGAGCCTCTTAGTGGCTGAGTCAGTGGAAGCCAACTCCGCGAGCTCCCTTTTGGCACAAACCCGTGTGAGTTCATCCAATAGGCGGCTTTCCAAACATGAACATGGGCCCCTTTTTGCTTTTTGGCTGGTTTGAAGAGGAAACCAAAAGCAACATCACACTTCTAGGGGTTCCCTCGTGTTAGAGCAACCCACGCGCTGGCCTGACAAACCTAAGATGGACACAACTGCTTCACTCCCAAGCGCCTTGGCATCCAGAAACTTCCGAGAGCCAGTCGTTTTGCGGCTGCCATTCATTCCCTATTGCACCTACCAATGAAACTCTTGTCCATTTGTCGGCTCTTGCAGCGCATGGAAATGCATCGAACTATGGAGCAGCCGCAAGCTTGGTTTGACCTAGAGCTACGCCAAAGTCTTTGTGTCTTACCAGGGGATTGCCCCAGACTTGGGTCGACTTTGGCGCAAAAGGCCATGCAAGGAGAACACATGTCTTGCGCCGGCCCATTCAGAGAAAGCTCACCAGCAAAACAAGCACGACAGCACATATACATCATGCCATTGGACTGGAATCACAACCCGAAACGACGGATGAGTGCCCGAACCGGCTCGCTTGCGATTGGACGCCTGCCCGGGCAAGGAGCGGATGATGTCCGAGTCGCCGGGGTCGGTGATGGAAAGGCAGCACACACCTCGAGCGAGCGGCGCCGGGCGATGTGCCAGCCTCGAATCTCCCGGCTTTGGAGGCCCCCTATTGAAGCCTGGTGTTGAAACAATGCACTAGCGGTGCAATCCTTGCTTTGATTTTATCTTGCGTCTCGCAGTGCATGTCTCCGCCTGAGCTTGGGTGCCTCACAGAGACACAGACAGAGCAACAGGCACAGTCACAGACACAAACACAGACACACACAAACACAAACACAAACACCCACACACACACACACACACACCCAGACACACGCACAGACACGCACACACAAACACACAGACACAAACACAGACACACGCACGCCCGAACGCCCGAACGCCCGCCCACACAAGCAAGCACGCCCGCAGCTGCCCGCACGCACGCACACACGCACCACATGGGGTCATCCCGATGTTGCTTCCCTGTGAGAATCGCACATGTGTTGTTTTTGTGTGTGTGCGTGTGTTCATCCTCTGCATTGCCAATGCCCTTCCCGATCATGGCACTGGAATTGTCGTTGACTGAAATCTGGTTATAGACATCCGATTGAACAAGGCGTTCAACATCAAAAAGGCCTGGCGGCCTAGCCTTCTATTGTCTGTCGGCATTGCACGGCTGCACTACATGCAACTGATCGGGCGACGCTAAAAAAGCACTCAAAATGCGCGAGGTGGAAAAACTGGCTAACAGTAAACAATCTAGGCGTGCTGATGCTGCAGCTCAAACTCTCGCTCGACCTAGACTTGCTGCAAAACGCAGCAAGAACGACAAACCATGGTGCGCAAAATTGCAAGTTAGCAGGTGTTAAGTGGTGTGTGAGCCTGGCCCTAGCTCGATTTGCAAGTGCGCATCACAGACATTGATCATGACAACGTGCACGCACCCAAGCACGGCTCCCAAAGCTGGCCTGCTCGTAGATGCACTTGAGCGTCAAAAGTGAACCGTTTCACTGCTCTTTCTCTTCTGCAAGCCGAGGGCCGAGATGTTTGATTCTGTTCGTCGTTTCGTGGCGCTTCTGCAGTTGTATTCTGTGTTTGAGGGATGCCAGTCGTCTATCTCCACATCAATGTTGACTACAAACTTGCCCTTGGCCAAGATTCATTGAACACGAATCTACAACAGCAATGTACACAATAGTCAGCAGTGGTCATATATTTATATATATATATGTGTATATATATATATGTATATATATATATATATAATATGTTTTAAGATATTATATATAATATGTTCTAACATATTATATATCAATGTATATGCCCAGAGAGAGTCGAGTCCCGGGATTTGGGCACTCACGCGCCGACTTTGAACACCTCTCCTTTGCTCATTTCCCAGGCAAGCTCCTAACCCTTAACCTTCGGTCCCTGGATTGTAGGTCCCAAGGGATCCCACAGGGCTCACATTCGGGAAATTCACCCGGGTTTGCTTGGAGGGTATCATAGGGTATCGTTCCCTTTTGAGGTGGTGTTTCAGGGAAACCAATACCCACCTTCTCTACCGTGCTTGTTTTGCCTGACTTCCCGCTTGGAAGGCCCTTTGGCCTTTCTTGGGGCCATACGGTAGTAGCGACCGCAGGCGGTGCCCAGCTCGTTGTTGTCACCGTGGAAGTGGTGCACTCCGGTCTTGGCCTTAGGAACTCACCCGCGTTTGTTCCAAGTGAAGGTTCCAAAAAATTACAAGTGAAAGGTCACATGTTTGGGAGTTCACTTTGTTTACCATGCCTGCAGAGATTCGCAAAACATAAGCTGCAAACACATTTCAGAGGGCCAACAAAGGTTGGCAAAGCCTCCTGAACACCATGAACCAAGCAATGTGAACACGGTCGAATCCAGAACAGACTTGGGGTCCCCTTGCAAACAGGGCTTCCCCAAATCCCTTGTCCACTTGCAACACTGAGGGAATCAACCTTCAAATTGAGATACCAAATGTCACAAAGAACCTGACACCTGACATGTCAGTTTTGGCCGGATGGGGGTCGTGAAAGGGCCTGGGTGATGGTTGTCCGGAACCCTCAAAGGGCTCCTACCCTCCCGCCCTCTTACAGAGAATCTGACTGGAGGTGCCTGCAAGACCATTCGCCTCTTGAAGGAACATTCTGGTGGGTGCATGGTGTGAGTGAGAATAATCATCCCTGTTTACGCCTTCACTTTCGCTTTCTCAAGCAACAAGTCGCGGAGTTGCCACATCTAGTGATCGCCGCCATATGAGCGCGTCCAAACAGATCTTAGTTGCCCAAATAGGCAACCTCTTCTTAATGGTTTTGAGGAGGTTCCCCCAAAGGAAACCAAACACACTGGATCCTTCATGCCTTTGCACCAAAGCGCCGGGAAACTGGTATTCACCAGCCTGAAATTCGGGATGTGGATGGATACAAATCCTGAACCAGCTTAGAAGGATGAATACTGGGATAAACCACCTAGCAACTAACCACCTAGTTCCCTACTGGTGTGAAGCGGTGGTTGTCCATCCACAGCATGAAACGAGCCAAATGTGTGAAATCGCTAAGCCAACCAGGTCGATCGCTGCCTCCGTGCGCTGAGCACGCGGCCAGCATAGCGTAGTACTCGATCCTTGGAAAGTGTCGAGCTCCGCTTCACGCGCTTTCACCAATCACTTATGCGGTGCATTTCCCGAAACGCAAGTGAAGCAACATCACACCCAACCCAGCTTGATGAGGCAGCGTACAGTGTGCAGGGCTCCCCTTGTTTCTCTACTTGCAATACTAAGGGTAGCTTCTGTACCTCAGCTTGGAGTTCGAAATGCCGATCCCCTGGGTCAATCTGCTGCAAGAATGCTCCAAGAAAGGACATGAGCAAATTGGTTTGTTCCCCGCGAGAAAGTTGGGCAACCCCCTGTCCTTCCCAAGCGAACAGGGAACTGTGGTCCTCGCATTGCCGAGGCAGACATTAGACTCATGACTGAAGTCGTAGAAGCAGGATATAAGAGGTTCTGCCTCGCAGGCTTTGAATGCCAATGCACAAATGGCACCGCGGAAATCTAGATACAGTATGTAAGCATGTGTTTGCCTGCCAAGCGTCGCGATGGAAAACTGAGTGGCTTTCTTTTGGTTTCCCTCAATTTGTGCCAAGGCTGCCCTTTGCAAAGGGTGGTTCTTTTTACCCACGGTGATCATTGACAAAGGACGGTTGTCTAGGTAGCACTTGGCAAAAGGCATAGTAGGGCAGTAGGGCAGACTTGTGACCCAATGATTCCCTTGCCAGGATCCCCAATTTTCCTTCTCCGTAGCAAAATCATCCAAGTTACCATGCTCCTTAAACAGATCACGCTTCCCAGTCTCAGGTTGAAGTGGTTGCCTGCATTGCCTGCATCCCCATTTTTACTCAACCACTTTCCGAATGGATACATACCCTCGAGCCATCTCTGTAGCCTCGATCCGGTAGCTGGAACAAGGGATCGGTTGAAAGAATTGAGCACATACCTGCAGATGTGTTGGCATCCAGCTATCCTGCGCACAAAGATCACAAAGGTGATGCGCCAACCAACCATGCTGGGGGCTTGATTCTCATAGTAACATGCACAACACCACAAAACCCTCTTTCATGCTTGGTTGCTGACATAGAGCAACACACACACACACACAAATGCTGGATTCCTACACAGTGTCCCCCCAAATCGCAAAGTTTGGGCCCCGCTGCCTTTTTGCTTCCCCTGATTTCCTCAGTGTCGCTTGTTTGCCTCCATGCTTTTGCGAACGCCGAAGGGTGCCTTCGTCTCTGGGACCTCGGCTCGCTCTTTCGCAGGGCCGGGCAGTTGTTGGAGATAAGCACCAGCTTGCTCTTGCCTTGCCTGGCGCCATGCCATGTTAGCTTTCACGGAAACAAATAAGTCCCACTTGCAAACGCTTGCAACTTCATTCCAAGTGTACATTTTTCCCGCCGTTTACCGAAAAAGCAAAGTGTTCAGTCCTTTGGTCAAAAACGCTGTTTCATTGCAAAAGTGGTGTGTCAAATTTAGCGCGAAACATGGTCGGGGATTGTCGCCGTTTGGTCGGGGAAAGTCGCCGTTTCGCCTTCATGGATTTGTCCTAGAAGAGTAAAAAGTGAAAAGTGCCTGGAGACACAAAAAATGGTTGTCTGTCTGAAGAGCTTTTCACGAAAAGGCATGAAACATACACACTTTCAAGATCCAGGATATGGCAAACATATATACTCTGTTGCAGAAGGTTGATTGAGATCAATGCAAATTGCACCATGCTATACATTTGGACAGCGCAGTTCGCTGAAACCAACGCACAGCTAGAGGTGTGGTTTGGTGAGTCGAGGTGTCGGAGCTTTGTATGGAGACCGCCAGGGCTCGGGAGAAAATCGATCCTATACCTGTTGTCTGTATGGTAAACATTCAATATTAGTAATCTTCCGGAGACGTGCCAGACGAGCAGCCATCGCGTCTCAGAAGCAAGCTTGCCCGAATTCTTATGATAGACTGCTAACCATTCTTCCGGACAAAGAACAAAAACAAGTAAAGGACATCACGGGGTATCACGGGAGAGCTAGAGTGAGCCCCACATGAGCCCTTCATAACTTTTGCAGAACTATGCCTCTGGCGCTCAACACTACAATCGACCGCCAACTCCTAGGCAGCATGGATTGCCCCCACGTGCTCCCCAACCTCCTGATCCAAAAGAGAGATCCCGATGACTAGGATCATTTCCGCAGTCAAGCACGTCGATTGGGCCCAATCCAGGCCTCAAGGTCTTGAGGGTGGTCTTGTAGCCGAGGCTGTACTTGCCACTCTTCATGACCAGCTGTAGCCGCGCCTGGGTGTGGCGGTCTTGACTTGGGAACCTCTCACAAACAGCTGGCTCCCCTTCGTTTTTTTGCTTGAACCTTTGAACAAAAGCACACCCGATGTCTCCTTGCAGCAAAACCGCGGAAGGACCCCATAAGCTTGAAACGGAAAGTTATACACTTGAAACAAAAGTTGGGCTTGAAACGTTTGTAGATCCTTTCCGGAAGGGGCTCTTGGAAGGATTCTGAGAGGCAGGGGTCTAGAGAGTGAACTGATGGAACACATTGCGATGCCGTGCATCTGCTAATTTGCTCTCGCGAAGCCAGGCTGGCATCCCACCACAGTCAAACCATCTGTTATCACAAAAGGTTGCGCTCCGAATCCTTAGACTCCATATTTGTTTCATCCTTGACAAACTGACCTGAAAACCTGAACAGGAACTTTACGTCAAGAAGCCTGGGGATTGATGCTCGTCCCCAAATCGCTCTTGTGGAGTAAACAGGTGTCTTGGCACAACTTTCTCAGCTTCCCGCATTGATGGAGTCAGCCGCCTTGGACGCCTTCGAGCATGGACCGGACATCACAAGGCGCGCAGCGAAAATTGGTTGGAGCCCCTTCTTTTTCTGAGATAGACGTGTTGCTTTGTGTTTTTCCTTAGGGCTGGTTTTGGCCTAGCGCTGGATTTTCTTCGGGCTGGCAACATCCGCAGCATCACCTGGACTAGGTTGGGTATTCTCTTGGCCAGCTTGGGCGTCGTAACCAGTTCGGCGTCATCCCCAGTCAGCATCACCAGGTGCATTAGGCTTCGGTTCAGCTGGGTTTGTGTTGGCAAGGGGCTGATTTATGCTAGCTGCGTGGCCGGTTTGAATTGGGGTTGCTTTAGGCTGTGGTTCGGTGAGGGGCTTGGGGCAACGCGCCTAAACCAATCGCAAACCAGCCCAAGACTCACCTAACCACACCCCTAAAGTGACCGTAAAGCCACAACTAAACCAACCGGATGCCTAGCTACAGTAAATTCAGCCATGCCAACCCAAACCCACCACAACGCAGCCTCCTGGATATCAGAGCTAAATGAACCACAACCAAAGGCCCGCTCTCATTGCAATTTCAGGCAGCCTTTAATTCACGCTGAGCCACCCTAAGCAACTTTCAACTGCCACCAAACCTGATCTAATTGGCAGCCCTAGGGCAACCAACCAACCAACCAACCAACCAACCAACCAACCAACCAACCAACCAAGCAAGCAACCATCTAACCAACCAATCAACCAACCAACCAACCAACCAACCAACCAACCAACGAACCAACCAACCAACCAATTAATTAATAAAGCAACCAAGCCAAGCAACCAACCCACCAACTCACCGACCCACCAACCCACCAGCCCACCAACCCACCAACCCACCAACTCACCAACTCACCGACCCACCAACCCACCATCCCACCAACCCACCAACCCACCAACCCACCAACCCACCAACCAGACAGACCAGCCTAGTACAAACACAAAACAAAACAGCCCTAGTAAAAATAGTAAAAACACAACACCTCATCCTGGCTTCTGAAGTGTAACAACAAGGAAGAAAAGCACCAGTTCTGTGGGGCATCCCATATGTAAGGATCGTAATCGTGCTCCTGAGCACAAAATGGTGTCCATAGCTCAAGGACCGTGACATCTCGAGCCCGCCTTAGATCCCTTCTTGGTTGCCATGGTGCGGAAAGCGGAAAAGCAAGCGACCAGTGAGCCAAATCCCTGCACCAACCCGATTCAAGACAAGCCGCCAAAACAGAACGATTGTTCCGACGAGTTCAATGCTGCAGAAACAGTGATAGCAACACTCAACTGAGTTGCAACAGCACGTCCGCAGAAGCTTGCAACGACATTTAAGACAAAGCTGCAAAGAGCGCAGCATGAGCGAGTGGTGGGCTAATGATGGCGCTTAGCGACACCATGTCTGTCTCTCGCTGCCATGAGGCAAACTCAAACAGGCTTGCGAGATACAAATGTATATATGTGTGTGCGTGCAAGATAGAGAGATCCCGAAAGCGGTGGCTTTCCTTTGGGTCTCCCTTTGAACCCCCAAAAGGACTCAAACAAATACCCTTAAATGCCACACACACACACAAATGCGTGCAACTCTCCAACTCTCCGCTCTCTTCTCCGAGCAAACAATTCGTTTCCTGTGCCTACAGGAGCAAATGCTAGGCTTCGACAAGGGGTTGAGCTGTGGTTGCCAACCCCTTGACCGAGTGAGGCGATCATTTCTCAAGATGTGTATGGCAAGAAAGCACCAGGAAACTGGAACTGAAAGCTACCTCCCTGACCAAAAGATCCCGCATCTCTTGGCCTGAATGGCTTTAGGCCTCAGTCACCAACAAACAGCACGAACAAAACCATGTCTTCTTGCAGCTTTCAAATTGCACACCTGACTCCATCGCGCTCTTTTTTCCTCTTCCTCGATCTTGCGTGTCCACGTCCTGGCGTTCACCATGCCCCCTATATCCCTTGGATGTCGCAATCTCGTGGAGCCATTTGCAACATAGACCGCGGACCGAGACACACGCCAGGTTGGTCAGCCACGATTTGTCCAGCGCTCTCAAAGAACGTTACTTGCTACATATACGAATAAAGGTGCGGAAACTCTTAACTTGTACATACAAATGTATATATTATGTTAATATAGGTCCACCAGACGGTCACCCCTGCCTCAGACACCCTATCTTGGTCTCTTGTCCAATCTGAAACCTGCTCCGACCGAACATTGTGGGACTTTAGAGATGAAATTGATTCACTTGGCGGGATCCTTAGAAGGCACACGGGACAAACGCTTGGTGGGTTATGAACCATGCAATGACATTGATCACATGCCCGGAAGAGGCTGCTCTGTGTGCTTGGTCTGGTTGCACTTACTGATAGGGGAAACATGGTTGTCAGACATTGCATGACATTGCCATTACAGCCATTACCAGTAACACCTGCTCCCTATCAATGTCGATGTATTTTCATCACGTTAGAACTATCTCACCTACATAGGTAGCTGCGAATGGCTAAGATGCGGCTGCACAACAGCAGCGGAAGTGATACACAACGTTTGGGTGTGTACTCCGTCTTGTGGCAAAAGCACCAAACCACAGTCAGTGCTGGTCCAAACCAGGTGTGGTCAAAACTCACGCTGTGGTGGTTCCTTTCGCAGAATCCCTCATTGCAGTTGCCAACCCTTATATAATTATGTTCCAAACTGGAACATCTCTAAATCCTTTGCTTTAAAGATTCGCCTTCCGTTTTGAGGGGTTTTGGTCATGCAGTATTATTGTAGTCGCTTCCAGTAGTTTTCCGGTAGTGTTCCCGTAGTCTTCCTGTGGCAGTCTTCCCATAGTCTTCCGGTCAAATCTCAGCTATCGCCATTCACAAGAGCCAATATTCCAAAAAACAAACACACAATTGTCGTGCTTTAAAAAGGGTTTTGTTTAGGCCGCTTTGCGTTGGCCTTCGCTTCGAGGCCTTCTCGTGCCCTTGTAAAAGCCGCGGCATGTGCCTGAGGCCCTTAAAATGTTCTTTTTTCAGCACCACTTGGAAAAATGATGTTTTTCCAACAATTTGAGCACCAGATCGGTTCGTTAGCACCAGAACCCAAGGTGATTTCCCAACACACATTTTTAGTTTTACGTAAAATGTACGACATGCGAACGGTTCGCGAACGGCTTGCGAACGGGTGTTGAAAGCTTTACGAACGGTATTTCCAAAACCAAATCCTAGGCACGGCCCATGTCATGACGCAAAAAGAACGTAAACATGCAACGGATCATGCAAAAATAACGCAATCGATGGATTCCCAGCAAGCGACATCAGCAACATAAGGTTCGGTCTGCTCCGCAAGCCCGAACGGTTTTTGTAGCACCAATGTTGAAATTTCAACACCAAGAAGGCAAAACGATCATGTTCCTGAAAATCGATCAAATTCATCAGTTTTTGGGGCAGCAGGTGCAATAAGGATCCTTTGTGCCAAACACTTGCCTTCGTTTTTGGGAGGTGTTACCCTATTCCACTTCAAAGCATATCCCATGTACCAGCTTTCTAAGCGGCCTCTCGCGACGCAGCTCATTCCTCAGCAGAACCTTCACACACATGTTGCTTACAGAATGTGCAATTTGTGAGAACAGGGGCAGTAGTAACTTACTTAGTCGCTGATCACAGTCCCTAAGGTTTGCTGACAATGGCTCATGTCAAATGTGCCCTTCTGAGACGGGTTGGGAACTGCCCTGGCCAGAGCCATTACACTTGATTGCTTCGCAGTCCCACGCTAAGTGAGCCAAGTCCATTCAAAAATTATGGCTCGGGGCTACAAAGCAAGCCTCACCTTTGCGATACTTCTGTTGCGAGGTCCTTGCTCATCCGCCAGCGCTCGGATTAGTCCTTGTCGCATGCGCTCACTCCTGACGGCAAGGAGGACAGAATGCATTGTAGAATGTGACTGGGCCAAATTACAAGGCTCAGCCAGGTGAGAAGTTGCCTGCTTGTGGACAGTGCTGTTGCTGAGCAGAATGATACCCACTCATCTTTCAGTTGGTCATGCCTTGCAAATTGCTGAATGAGTGCAACAACAAAAAAGGCGAAAGCCGCTGGTCAGCACTTCAAGCAAATCCAGCTCTGCCATAGCCATGAAGTTTTGGGTGGCTTCATGTCGTGTTTTGCAGGACTGCCATCTGCGAGGGCGTCCAACACAACTCCGAGGCGTCGGTCAAGGGGTGGGGGTGGAGGTAGACTCCCCAAAAACGGAATAGCAATATACAAGCAAACGAAAACATGATGTAACACCTAGTGGCAAAAATCCTTGGATACCTATGGTAGCTGGAAGCACTGAGTATCCACACAGCGGCGGTCGCCGTCTTTGCGTGTATCCCCGGTCTCCTGGCCGGGCAGCGATCGGATGATGTCCGAGTCGCCCGGGTCCGTGATGGAGAGGCAGCTGACACCTCGAACAGCTGATGGTTGGCGTGTGAGTTCCTGGTTAAACTGGAATTTCTGATTGGATTTATGCTTGAATTTCTGGTGGTTGATGTGGTTTCCAGAACAGCATGTTGGATGGTCGCCACGTTCCAGGGCTAGATTGTGTAGGCGACTCCAACAAGGCAATTGCCCGCAGTCAATCAATGGCAATGGCCACAAGTTGGCCTTTGAAGCTGCACCCAAGAACATGCATGGTTCTAAAGACACCAACAGCTGTGGTGACAGTACCCCACCTGGCATGACAGCTAAGCTCCGGACTTTGTGTCTTGCTCCAAACCAAAGGTAGAGGGTCCAGGTTGGCAGCTTCGTCGGACATGTGCTCCAAAAAGTAAGTCCCTACACTGAAAGTGACTTTGCCTCCGATTCAAGGACTTTTCTGTATGATTAATGGTCTTGAATTGAATCCACAATGCAGCCGGTTGAGGGGCCCTTCTCTAAAACCAGACTTCCCTTCTCCCAGTGTATGATCAATCAATTAGAGCCAACACGCCTATAGCCGCTACAGTTGTACGACTCTTAACGAACCTAATGCTAAGCTTGGCCATAATGAAACGAAGCCAGCCATGTTTCAAGAACACCAGTTTTGCTCCACGGCTCCACAATGCGATGAGCATCACAATCCCACGGGTGTGAAGTTGAATCGCATGCTTGACGTTTGATCCTGGCCAGACTAACACCAGACATGACATGGCAACCGCCCACCGAGCCATTCCAGGTCCCCGGGAAACACGGGCACCCTTGTTTTTGGTGGTTGATTTCCAAAAAAACCTTGTGCGCTCAGGGCACGAAGCAACCCAGATGAAAGCATGACACGCTGAGGCTCGGTGCGATAGTAGCGCCCGCAGGCGGTGCCCAGCTCGTTGTTGTCGCCGTGGAAGTGGTGCACTCCGGTCTTGGCCTCGGCCGTGCATTTGCACGGCTGATGTTTCCAGTAAGTGGAAGTTACCACGTACTTGTACTTGTTTTGCAGCACTGTTCACAAACACTGAAAGCCAAAATGCCGTCTTGATGGCATTGTTGGTGCCTGTGTGTGTGTCTCTCAGAATACGGTACATGAAGCAAGTGCCACGAAGCTCACACCAACCTGCCAACAACATGCTGGGGCAATGGTGTTTGTTGCTTTGCAATGCGCATTGACAACCCATCACCATCCATGAAAACGACTGTATGCAGTAATGAAACAGCGGCAAGGATTTAGCACTCTAGCTAAGGCGACTGACGCCTCGGCGCAAGAACCTGCTGCAACGCTGATTAACTTGCCAACTCCTCTCTCGCGACAGGACACGCACCAGCAGCGAAACAAAAAGTGCATTGCCTGCACATTAGCATGGTCATGCCGGAGGCCACTTCGCAAGGTCTACGAGCAAGACACACAATGCCGCAACAGCGGCCACTCCAGCCCAATGCCTACGACGATACGAGCTGTCAAAAAAGCAGGTCGACTGGTGAGCCCCATCACTTCTGGAGTAGCATGGCCCAAAATGGTAGCTCATGCAAGCAAGGGACAAGCTTGCCATCAGCACACTTCTGGCCTCCAGGCAACAACCACAAGTAAAAGCTAATCGATACGCAATGTGTGTTGTCTACGTGAGTAACGAACCAGCAGCAAGAGAATAGCATCGAGAAAATACTCTCTCAGCAATTTGGCAAGTTTATGCAAATGTCGCAGCAACGAAGCTGCGCAACAGCACTGTAGCAAAGGTGACTGACGCCACGGCGCAAGAACCCGCCGCAACGCTAATTTACCTGCCCACTCCTCTTGCGACAGGACATGCGTCAGCAGCCAAGAGAAAGTGCACTGCCAGCAGTGAAAGCCATGCCGCCCGAGGACTCTTCGAAAAGTCATCTAGCACAACACACAACACCGCACACACACACACACACACATTCACACACATATACACACACACACACATTGCCGTATCAACAACGCGACAGTGCAAACTGTCAAATGAAGTAACATTCTAAGCTGCACTTAACGGGCAAGCCCCAACTGACTTCTGGAGTGGATTGGCCATGCAAAGAAGGGACAAGCTTGCCATCAGCAACACTTCCGGCCTCCTGCAAAACCTTTTGCACCAAAAGCAAAAGCTAATCAACACGCAATGTTCGAGGTCTACGTCACTAACGAACAAGCAGCAAGAAAGCAGCACCGAACAGATAGTCTCTCAACAAATTGAAAAAACATATGCACATTTCGCAGCAACGAAGCTGCGCAACAGCACTGTAGCAAAGGCGACTGACGCCACGGCGCAAGAACCTGCCGCAACGCTAATTTACCTGCCAACTCTTCTTGCGACAGGACATGCATCAGCAGTCAACAAAGAGTGCACTGCCAGCAGTGAAAGCCATGCCGCCCGAGGCAACTTCGCAAGCGTATCCATGTGCAACACACGACGCTATACACACACACACACATTCACACACACACACACACATTCACACACACACACATTGCCGTAAACGCGCGACAATGCAAACTGTCAATGGAACTACCATTCCCAGCTCACATATCGGGCGAGCCCCAACTCACTTCTGGAGCTCATGCAAACAAGGGACAAGCTTGCAATCAGCACAGTTCTGGCCTCCGGGAAAAAGCTTTTGCTACAACACGTAAAAGCTAATCGATACGCAATGTGTGTTGTCTACGTGAGTAACGAACCAGCAGCAAGAGAATAGCATCGAGAAAATACTCTCTCAGCAATTTGGCAAGTTTATGCAAATGTCGCAGCAACGAAGCTGCGCAACAGCACTGTAGCAAAGGTGACTGACGCCACGGCGCAAGAACCCGCCGCAACGCTAATTTACCTGCCCACTCCTCTTGCGACAGGACACGCGTCAGCAGGCAACAAAGAGTGCACTGCCAGCAATAAACGCCATGCCGCCCGAGGACTCTTTGAAAGGTCATCTAGCACAACACACAACACCACACACGCACACACACATTCACACATTCACACACACACACACAAATTCACACACACACACATTGCCGTAAACGCGCGACAATGCAAACTGTCAATGGAACTACCATTCCCAGCTCACATATCGGGCGAGCCCCAACTCACTTCTGGAGCTCATGCAAACAAGGGACAAGCTTGCGATCAGCACAGTTCTGGCCTCCGGGAAAAAGCTTTTGCTACCACACGTAAAGGCTATATAATCGATACGCAATGTGTGTTGTCTACGTGAGTAACGAACCAGCAGCAAGAGAATAGCATCGAGAAAATACTCTCTCAGCAATTTGGCAAGTTTATGCAAATGTCGCAGCAACGAAGCTGCGCAACAGCACTGTAGCAAAGGTGACTGACGCCACGGCGCAAGAACCCGCCGCAACGCTAATTTACCTGCCCACTCCTCTTGCGACAGGACACGCGTCAGCAGGCAACAAAGAGTGCACTGCCAGCAATAAACGCTATGCCGCCCGAGGACTCTTTGAAAGGTCATCTAGCACAACACACAACACCACACACACACACATTCACACATACACACACACACACATTGCCGTATCAACAACGCGACAGTGCAAACTGTCACATGAAGTAACATTCTAAGCTGCACATAACGGGCAGGCCCCAACTGACTTCTGGAGCGGATTGGCCATGCAAAGAAGGGACAAGCTTGCCATCAGCAACACTTCCGGCCTCCTGCACAACCTTTTGCAACAACCAAAAGCAAAATCTAATCAACACGCAATGTTCGATGTCTACGTCATTCACGAAAACGCAGCAAGGAAGCAGCACCGAACAGATATTCTCAACAAATTGAAAATATATGCACATTTCGCAGCAACGAAGCTGCGCAACAGCACTGTAGCAAAGGTGACTGACGCCACGGCGCAAGAACCCGCCGCAACGCTAATTTACCTGCCCACTCCTCTTGCGACAGGACACGCGTCAGCAGGCAACAAAGAGTGCACTGCCAGCAATAAACGCCATGCCGCCCGAGGACTCTTTGAAAGGTCATCTAGCACAACACACAACACCACACACACACACACATTCACACACACATTGCCGTATCAACAACGCGACAATGCAAACTGTCAAATGAAGTAACATTCTCAGCTGCAAATAACGGGAACTCACTTCTGAAACGAATTGGCCCAAAATGGTAGTTCATGCAAGCAAGGGACAAGCTTGCCATCAGCACACTTCTGGCCTCCTGCAAAAACTGCGCAACAGCACTGTAGCAAAGGCGACTGACGCCACGGCGCAAGAACCTGCCGCAACGCTAATTTACCTACCAACTCTTCTTGCGACAGGACATGCATCAGCAGTCAACAAAGAGTGCACTGCCAGCAGTGAAAGCCATGCCGCCCGAGGACTCTTTGAAAGGTCATCTAGCACAACACACAACACCACACACACACACATTCACACATTCACACACACACACACATTCACACACACACATTGCCGTAAACGCGCGACAATGCAAACTGTCAATGGAACTACCATTCCCAGCTCACATATCGGGCGAGCCCCAACTCACTTCTGGAGCGCATGCAAACAAGGGACAAGCTTGCGATCAGCACAGTTCTGGCCTCCGGGAAAAAGCTTTTGCTACCACACGTAAAGGCTATATAATCGATACGCAATGTGTGTTGTCTACGTGAGTAACGAACCAGCAGCAAGAGAATAGCATCGAGAAAATACTCTCTCAGCAATTTGGCAAGTTTATGCAAATGTCGCAGCAACGAAGCTGCGCAACAGCACTGTAGCAAAGGTGACTGACGCCACGGCGCAAGAACCCGCCGCAACGCTAATTTACCTGCCCACTCCTCTTGCGACAGGACACGCGTCAGCAGCAACAAAGAGTGCACTGCCAGCAATAAACGCCATGCCGCCCGAGGACTCTTTGAAAGGTCATCTAGCACAACACACAACACCACACACACACACACATTCACACATACACACACACACACACATTGCCGTATCAACAACGCGACAATGCAAACTGTCAAATGAAGTAACATTCTCAGCTGCAGATAACGGGAACTCACTTCTGAAACGAATTGGCCCAAAATGGTAGTTCATGCAAGAAAGGGACAAGCTTGCCATCAGCACACTTCTGGCCTCCTGCAAAAACTGCGCAACAGCACTGTAGCAAAGGCGACTGACGCCACGGCGCAAGAACCTGCCGCAACGCTAATTTACCTGCCAACTCTTCTTGCGACAGGACATGCATCAGCAGTCAACAAAGAGTGCACTGCCAGCAATGACAACCATGCCGCCCGAGGCCACTTCGCAAGGTTATCTATGCGCAACACACGATACTGTACACACATTCATTCACACGCAATGCGCGTTGCTACGACAGTAATGAACAAACAGCAAGGAAGCAGCCCCGAAAATATTTTATGCAAATGTCGCAGCAACGAAGCTGCGCAACAGCACTGTAGCAAAGGCGACTGACGCCACGACGCAAGAACCCGCCGCAACGCTAATTTACCTGCCCACTCCTCTTGCGACAGGACACGCGTCAGCAGGCAACAAAGAGTGCACTGCCAGCAATAAACGCCATGTCGCTTGAGGCCACTCTGCAAGGTCATCTATGTGCAACATACAACGCCACACACACACACATTCATACATTTCCATATTAACAGCAACCACTCCATCTCAAACAGGTCTACGACAATGCAAACTGTCAGTGCAACTACCATTCACGAAAGTAATGGACAAACATACTATCAACAAACTTCTGGCCCCCAGAAAGAAGCTTTAGCAACCAAGCACTACTCAATAAGTCACAATCGCGCGGTTTGGGAACGACAGGTCGTAGCACTCTAGCAACGTACTGCACCAAAGACTGGCAGCAGCACTGTAGCAAACGCGACGCCACGGCACAAGAACCCGGCCTGCAGGACAATGCCACCCGTGCCCTTTCTTCCACCCACAAACACCGGCAGCGAATCCCCAGAGGTCCTGCCAGACCCTGGATACGATGTAACACAACCTGTCGGGTGTCAATGCTCCCTGCCTAGCCCCATGAGACATGCTCAAAGTCACCTAAGCCACCTCAGTGGAAACAAGCCTAGCCAACTTTTCACGGGCTTAAAAAGACAAGTTGTGGGCCACAACTTGCCAATCCGCTGGCCACTGGAGCCAGGTGCTCCGGGCAACCAAGCACCCACGTGAGCCAACGCAAATCACCCCCTTCTTGGTCGCGTTTACATGACAACGGAGAAAACGGTTTGGTGCCACTGAAGGAGCAGGTGACTGTAAAACTCAGTCTGACCATCAAATCGGGCGTAAGGCCGATCTGTGTCCAAGCATCATGACACCACGGCAGAGCAAGCTCGAGTCTCGCAACTAAAATGTGCTTTGTTTTGTCTGGTTTGCCAGCCAAGATTTGGGTTCAATCGCCCACCAACTGGACACTCTTCAGCAAGAGCACAAAGGAAGAAGATGAGTGTAGGCAAAAACAAATAAAGAAGCAATCAAACAAATACGTGAGCGAACTAACCAACCAACAAACAAAACAACAAAACCAAGCCACACCAACCAACCAAGCAACCAAGCAAGCAAACAAAACACAACATGCAACCCGACCGACCAAACCAACAAAACATCCAACCAATTCAAAACAAACAAACAAACAACCAACCAACCAAACAAACGACAAAACAACAACACACACAAAGGAGTGCACAAACAAACAAAACCCATGTAAACAACCACAGCTTACCAAACAAAAAACAACAATCATGCCCAAACACGCAACTTCAGCCTTCCAGGGCCAAAACAAGCTACTGCCGGGCGATGTGTTCGTTACGTGGCTTCTGGGGGCGACCGAGAGCAGGGCCAGCATGGCGTAGTACTCGATCCTAGGCCAAACATGAGACACCCTTCAGCCATGGAAGCTGATCGGAGAGCTGGGGAAGCTGACGATCAGTACCATGGTTGTTTCTTTTGGAGAATGCCCCTCTCCACTTCCATTGTTTCAAGGGTATGGGAATATATGTTGCTTCCACTTTGGCTTCAAACCAGCTTTTGTGTACCATCATCTCTGTTTTCAGCACAAGTCACATGAGGCTCAGGCACTGTGTGACTACTGGCATGATGAGACAGACAAACATACAACTAACCAACAACTATCAACAAGCTGCAAACGGCAGGCACTAGTATGCAACGCCAACAAAGAACTAAATGCACTATTCGACTATGCCTGCAGTGTTTGACCATCTCACTGCACGTGCAGGCTATGTCGCTTTATACTGCTTTCTAAAATCCTACCCAGGCCGTTCCACTGCACGTGTCATTCCTTCAGGTCATCGTTATTGTGCATGACTTCGGATGCAAGCTTGAATATTTCACGAAACAGCCCAAGTATCAGTTTTGAAGACTCATCTCTGACTGTTACGGATGCTCCAAAGAAACAAAGAACCACAGAACCATGCATACATATGTTTCTGTGTCTGTCGCGTTGAGGCCTGTTTAGTGTCTTGACCACTAACTTCTCAGCATGGTTTACTTCATCTGTGCATGCATCTCGCTCTGATCTTTCTCTTCCTGTCTCTGTTGTGTTGTTGTTCTTGTTTGTGTTGTGATTGTTGTTCTTGTTCTTGTTCTTGTTCTTGTTTTTCTTCTTATTTTTCTTGTTATTGTTATTGGTATTGTTATTGTTCTTGTTCTTGTTCTTGTTCTTGTTCTTGTTCTTGCTGTTGTTGCTGTTGCTGTTGCTGTTGCTGTTGCTGTTGCTGTTGCTGTTGCTGCTGCTGCTGCTGCTGCTGCTGCTGCTGCTGCTGCTGCTGCTGCTGCTGCTGCTGCTGCTGCTGCTGCTGTTGTTGTTGTTGTTGGTGCTGCTGCTGCTGCTGCTGCTGCTGCTGCTGCTGCTGCTGCTGCTGCTGCTGCTGCTGCTGCTGCTGCTGCTGCTGCTGCTGCTGGTGCTGTTGTTGTTGTTGTTGTTGTTGTTGTTGTTGTTGTTGTTGTTGTTGTTGTTGTTGTTGTTGTTGTTGTTGTTGTTGTTGTTGTTGGTGTTGTTGTTGTTGTTGTTGTTGTTGTTGTTGTTGTTGTTGTTGTTGTTGTTGTTGTTGTTGTTGTTGTTGTTGTTGTTGTTGTTGTTGTTGTTGTTGTTGTTGTTGTTGTTGTTGTTGTTGTTGTTGTTGTTGTTGTTGTTGTTGTTGTTGTTGTTGTTGTTGTTGTTGTTGTTGTTGTTGTTGTTGTTGTTGTTGTTGTTGTTGTTGTTGTTGTTGTTGTTGTTGTTGTTGTTGTTGTTGTTGTTGTTGTTGTTGTTGTTGTTGTTGTTGTTGTTGTTGTTGTTGTTGTTGTTGTTGTTGTTGTTGTTGTTGTTGTTGTTGTTGTTGTTGTTGTTGTTGTTGTTGTTGTTGGTGTTGGTGTTGGTGTTGTTGTTGTTGTTGTTGTTGTTGTTGTTGTTGTTGTTGTTGTTGTTGTTGTTGTTGTTGTTGTTGTTGTTGTTGTTGTTGTTGTTCTCTATCTCTCTCTCCGTCGGTCTCTTTTGGGCCGCGTTGTTCTTCCTTGAGCGGCCAGTACAGGTTTTGAACTGCTGCGTACCTCACAAGGAAGTGTTGGTTCTCGCAAATTCAGTTCTTCTAAATACTTATAAAGGATGTGTTCATATTTTGTTGAAATGCAAAGCCTGGCACCAATTCTCGTGTGCCACTGGGACAAATGGCCTGCCCAATGACTAATGCTTCACTTTGGCAGTGATTTCCTGGTATCACGGAAGTGGAAACACGCCAGCTGTTGCCGACCTATATATACTCTGTGCCCGCATTGAGGAACCGATAATTGACTTCTATTTAGCCTGTTGCTCAAGTAACACGCCACAAACAAAAGCAAACAAGAGCAGAAACAGCTGTGACGGGCCGGATCAAAGAATACCAGCATCCGCCCAGCATCAAATCAAACAACTGGCCGCCAGAAGCCAGAACAATTAACCGTCACCAGCATGAATCAATGTCCCCTCACAACCCTCGATCCCAACTTGCTTTCTTGTCATTGCGTACGTTCCCCCGCTCTGATGCCTCCTTTTTCGGCCGGTGACGTTCTTTCTCCCTCTCGGGCATCGGCTCACTCTTCCGCAGCGCGGGGCAATTGTTGGAGATGAGCACCAGCTTGGACTTCCCTTGCCTGGGCATCGGCAAGGCACATCGAGCGAACCAGTCTTGAGGCCAGGTGCATGACATTCATGTCTCACAACGGGGCGCCCCTGAAACTGGCTGGTCTCCTTTTGGAAAACCAGTTTGATTCGGGCAAACCCCGCCCAAGACACCTCTTTGTAGCTGCTGTTGTTAGGAATCAGGCTTAGAAAATGGCACAGCTATTAACAGGGGGGACCGGTTTCAGGAAATGGAAGTAGCCCCGGTAAAAGCAATTTTGAAGCCGGCAGTTGGGACTCCTCAGAATGTGAGAAACATGTTTGAATGGCAGCAAGGGTGCTGCATGGTCCAGAGAAAAGCAGGCCTCCTGTAAACCCGGTGTCGTGAAAGCAACAACTGCAACTGGCAAAAGGTTTCAGATGCCCAGCGGTGAATCCCCTAAGCAGGATGGATCCCAGCAACAAGACAGGGTGTTGTGGAATACAACTGACTTTGCTTCTACCTACAAGTCTACATAATGTATCTTTCACAGGGGCATCAAAAAGTGTGCCCCGCTCTTTACAAACGACTTGTTTGCAACTTACCATTTCCACCCAGATCGGAGCCAAATGGTATTTCTTCGGGTTGCGAAGCCGTCGAGCATGAATCCAGGCCTCAGGGTCTTGAGGGTGGTCTTGTAGCCCAGGCTGTACTTGCCGCTCTTCATCACCAGCTGTAAACGTGCCTAGGGCTTCCCAGTCCAGGGATCCAAGGCGTCACTGGAGTTCCCCCCCGTGCCAAAGTTGCGACTTGGGACCCACCTACGAATACCACATACATGAACCTCTGAATGGCCGAAGAGGAGCCCCCTACAGGCAACTGGCCCCTCCCACTCAACCCTCTCAAAGCCCTCGATGGCTCGGCCACGACCAACTTTTGGGGTCATTTCACGGCAGGGGGAGTGATGTTGTTCCGGAGGAGAGGTACTGTTTTCGTCAGCGAATTGGAGGGATCCCCCAAGGAAAACCACTGAGCCCCAAAATGGCTTATGTTAGAGGCCCAGCACGGCTCGCGGGTCTCCTGTCAAACCCCAAGCTGAAAGGCTCATGTTCACGGCACAGCCATTTGTTCAAAAGTGCGTCTTGTTTCAAGTGGCGAACAAATGCGCTTCTCGCAGACTGAAATGACGGCGTTTCCTTGTGGTCCCTCTTGAACTCGCGCATCGGATATCCGTTCCGAAGTCTCATGTTGGGCGCCCTGCATTGATGGAGTCTGCGGACTTGGATGCCTGGGCGGTGCCCAAAGGGGAATTGACGTCCAAAATTATGACTTTCCTTTTGGCCTCCCTCGAAAACCACACCAAGAGGTACCTTAGGTACCATCAAGAACGACACACACACACACAAATGGTCTGAAAATTGAGAAACTCCAGGTGCGAGGTTTCCTTTTGGGCCCCTTTAAACCTATCCCGAACAGTGGTTCGCCCTTTTGAGACGCCCCCTAGAAATGCGTTCCAAAGGCTTGGCCGGTCCCAATGAAAACTCCACCTTATCTGCTTCCCATTTAAGCCGTTCTTTTGGCAAATCAATGGTTCCATGAAGCAAACAAACAACAAGAGAAGGGAAGGAGTCAGCCAAAAACTGACATGCGCTTCGCAAATCAACCTGTGCCTAAAGTCCCGGAGAGATCTTGGTTTGGTATGCCAACCTTGCAAACAGCCTGCAAGAACCGAGATTCCTCCTACAACCTGAGCAAATTGGAGGAAGCGCATAAAATGTTTGCAACTTAGAACCTTGCCACTTGCCATGGGTCTGGCAAAGATTGCAGGTGGCGGTTCCAGCGATGCTATTTTGAATGAGATAAATTTCATCAGTTGGGCCCTACCTGCGGACTCCATTCCAATAAACATGGCGCGAGTTGCAACAAGTCCTTACATACACATGTACCAAAGCTTGTAATGCTGGGTAACTAAGTTTGAGTCCCCAGGACAGCCTGGGCAAAGCCCTCGTGCAGGAGAGGTCTGAGATGGGAATGTGTCAGAACAAGGGGACCTTTGATACAACCAAATTTCAAAAGCAATCCAACAGAATAAACCAACCGGATAAACAAACGGATAAACCAACGGGATATCTATCAATGTGGGCCCAAACAACCAAACAACCGAGCAAACAAGCAAAACATGCAAATCAAGCAAAACAAACAAACAAACAAACAAACAAACAAACAAACAAACAAACAAACAATCAATCAATATATATATATATATCAATCAATCAATCAATCAATCAATCAATCAATCAATCAATCAATCAATCAATCAATCAATCAATCAATCAATCAATCAATCAATCAATCAATCAATCAATCAATCAATCGATCAATCAATCAATCAATCAATCAATCAATCAATCAATCAATCAATCAATCAATCAATCAATCAATCAATCAATCAATCAATCAATCAATCAATCAATCAATCAATCAATCAATCAATCAATCAATCAATCAATCAATCAATCAATCAATCAATCAATCAATCAATCAATCAATCAATCAATCAATCAATCAATCAATCAATCAATCAATCAATCAATCAATCAATCAATCAATCAATCAATCAATCAATCAATCAATCAATCAATCAATCAATCAATCAATCAATCAATCAATCAATCAATCAATCAATCAATCAATCAATCAATCAATCAATCAATCAATCAATCAATCAATCAATCAATCAATCAATCAATCAATCAATCAATCAATCAATCAATCAATCAATCAATCAATCAATCAATCAATCAATCAATCAATCAATCAATCAATCAATCAATCAAATCAATCAATCAATCAATCAATCAATCAATCTCACACACAAACCAAGCCAAGCCAAACCAAATCAAACCAAACCAAACAAACCCAATAGCACACACACACACACAAAACAACAACTTACACACACGCACAAACAAACACTACCAAACAAACCTAAACACACACACACACACACACATGCACGTGGCCAAGAAGTAAACTCGATGAGTACACGTCGATCCGGTAAGTAAGTGGGTCATTCAAAATGAGGGACCCCCAATCCGTAGACCGGCACTACTACAACAATAACAAGAGACCCCGCTATCATTTGGCATAAGAACTAAGCATTGAGCTTGAACAACCCGGCACAAGCACAAAGGATCCCTGGGAATTGCTAGGCATTCCTTTCATTCGACTCGCAAGCCCCAGCCTTCGACTGCTTCTTGGTGGTCGACATGGGTGCGAACGCAGCCTACCTTCTCTCTTCACAAGCCGAGGAATTCCCTGTCCCGAGCCAAAATAAGAAGAACCGCAGACCGTCGCGTGTGCAGCAAGCCCTCTATGGTAACACGCGATGCCAAAGGGTATCTCAAAAACAAAAACAATATGAGTCAATGAGGATGAATCTTGCAACGCGGCAACCGCTTCACAAATTCCGAAGCATGTGATTTGCCATGTCTGGGCCAACCCACACTTGACCAAAAGACTGTCTGCACCATCTCGGCCCACAGCTATCCAACTCTGACAAAGGGTAACGACCGAAGAGTGAGCAAACCCTTCCCAGTGAAGACTCTTCCGGGAAACTTTAAGGTGTGGGATAGAGTAGCCTTGGGTGTTTGCTGGCGTGGGAGAGCCAACACGCTGGGCGGGATGCGCAGTCTTGAAGGGCAATCAAAGGTGTGGAAACTCAGAGTAGCCGTTGCGATGCTCAGGGCAGTGGGGCTTTGCCCGCTCAGGATGCTCACACTCTACCATGATCACAAACAAATTGGTATGTGTCAAAAAAGGGCTTGAATAGGTGCGTGTTGTTTTGGTTTCCCTCTGAAAAGGGCACCCTCAGAAACACACCCGAAGCTGATCCGTCCACATACTCGAGGAGAGGCCGTGCTCAGCTGGGTGTTTTCTTCGGCCAGAAAAGCGCTCGTGGATCCTGCCGCATCCCGCCGACGATGGACCCGTCCCAATTGGCCTCACACTGCGGCTTGCGAGGTTTGACTATTTTGAAACCTTACCAGGGGCGTCGATTGACGCAGCCATTTTGTTGGTTTGATAATCGCAAGTAAGCTCAGAAAATGGGCGGGTCAGTCCAGCAGAAGGCAAGCTTTGGAGCAAAGCGTAGAACCTCCCAAATAACGTTCACCTCACTCACTTTGTGATGACCAAGCCTTCTTTTGTTGTGGCTGGCTGTGAGGCTGGAGGAACCAATATCATGTGCTGTCGGTAAATCGGCATATGCCTGAAGGCCCGACAACGTTTCCACAAACAACTGATAAGCAATCAACGAGCACATACCATGGCAGTGTGTAGTGATACGGGCTTCCGTCGCTCACGTGTTCAGGCAACAAGTACAGCAAAGTATGGCACCGCCCTGCCACACTGGCGCTCAAAGCGCCGTCTCCATGGACTTTAGGCCGCACGCTGCGATGCCAGCGCGGGCATTTTTCCGCACCTTGAGTTCCTTGCAGATTAAACCTCAACTACAGCTTAGGGCGAGCGGTTATCAAACGGTTGAATCGTCCTAGAGGTCGGCCCTTTGCAGGCAGGAGTACATGCAGGAGCGGGCTAATCACGAAAACTTGCCAAGGAACCAAGGTCTCGCCTTCGTGGTGAACGTGTTGCCCGAAGGCCAAGCATGCAGCTGCATCCATTGGGGGTGGAATGGCTCTAAGCAACACCCTACTGCTTTAGAAGGCATCATGTGTGCTTCTGTGTGAGCCTTTGCGTGTGTTCCTTTTAAACTTGCTTGGACACTTTTCAAGCTTCCGCGCCCTGCCGAATTCTTGCTACGGGTCGAAAGTTTCAACTCCAAGCTGCACCGCGTGCCATCTGCACGAGGATCACAGAGGTCTCTTGCCTGTTGTGTTGCAAAGCTTTCCCTACTTTTACATACCATGCCACAAATTTCAGAAGACACCAGCGTGCAGAGTAGGATTTAAAAGTATGCGCAAAGCTCAGCCGTGTTTCCGTTGCTTGCGCCTGGCAGCGGTGTCAAAAGTGGACACGGCGGCTTGCTTTGTTTGTCACTGACATCCATTGTTTGCGCGCTGATGTGGAACATGCGACGCTTCTGCCCGTCGCATTTGCTCGACTGGACTTGCCAACAACAATTGAGTGCCTCTGAGTCACTGCCCTCCCAATCGCTTCTCCAAAGGAGCAGCACAGAGGTTCGCGGACATATTCTCTTTTCTGCGTCCAATGCCGAGTTCCTCCCAAGCACTCCCTTCACCTCCAGCCTGGGGCTTACTCCGCTGCACTTGCCGGCAAATCGGTTGGCGCATTAGCCAAAATAATGGCAATGGTGCGATTGCTCAGGCAGAACAAATTTCTGGAAACATGGCCCATGTGGCTATTGGCCAACTTCCTGAATTGGCTGGTGCTGTTTTAGGAAATCTCTCGCACCCAAGTAGAGTCGGTTCTTTTTGTCGGCCGCGGATGGCAGCTGTGATTTGCCCTCTGAAGCTGAAACAACCTCACGCCAGCCTTAAGCAAGCCATGGTTCGCAGGACAAACACCTTTGGAACCCACCTAGACACAGGTCCCTTCCAAGAAGGTTCCCAGAACCTTTCCTGGGACTGGGCGAGGCCGCGAGGCCTGGTGCCATGAGGACTAGACGCCTCTGCTCGCTTGTAGCCAAGACATGCCAGGACCTTGTCGTTTCCCTATCCCAAGAAACGAGTTGGGTGCAAACTTCATTGATTTTGATCTCTATGAGCCAACAACAACCAATCTGCTGCACAATGCCCAGTCTAGTTCCGACTTTCCAAGTAGCTTCGCAAGAGTGCCAACCAATACACCTGGCAACAGCGATGAACTGCGGCACATCGGGGATCTGTCGCAAGGCACAGGCCGTCGCCACGATCAGGTGACGTAAGTTCAAAGCTTCAGCTAAAAGTGACCTGGGATTCAGCAGTTTGTTGCTGGCTTGTCGCTGGCCATACGAGTGAGTCGCAGGGAAACCCGAGTCCTTTGAAGCCTCTTGGAACATCGGGCCCTGGAGGCACAGAACTTGCGAGAGCCCATTTGGAAGCAAACGGGCCTGCCCTCTTGCATCGGATGCAAGCGTCTTAAAGCAGGACGATGTCGGAAATGGCTGCCACTCAAGTGTGATGGAAGCCTCCGGCCGCACGGCAAGTGGCAGGAACGTGCACCGCAGAAGAGCTGCAATACTGACCGGAAAAGCGAGTGCTGACTGCAAAACCTCTCAAGCTGCGCACGCCGCCAGACAGTGGATCTAGCTTGCAGACTGTCATGCCAGCCCCAAGCACGTCGCTATTTCATCACGAGCATGGACAGCAGACGACAGCGGGTATTTTTTGGTGGGCTGAGAGTTTTGCCGGGAAGGACCAAACTCGAAAGATGTCAGTTACGGGCGCATCCAAGCATGATCTAGTTGCATCCAGAATGTGAATGGTGGCTGGACACTGGCAATGTCTCAAGTCAGACCGCTGCGGTGCGTTGGCTTCGGCCTTGGGATGCTCTGTGCGGGTTCAAGAACCCTGGCAAGTCATAGCGCCCAAAAGCGGGTGAGCCACGACTCGCTGTTCGGAACCGCGACAGTCTGGACACCTCCCTGGTCCCACACTGGCGCTCAAAGTGCCGTCTCCATGGACTTTACGCAGCACGCTGCGATGCCAGCGCGGGCGTTTTATCGCGTCGTTTCTTATTTCGGGGTCCGCTTGCCGGGCACCAAAAGCCAGATTGCAGGCACTGAACGGCTCGCACCTCGATTTCCCCTTTCTAATTAAACCTCAACTACACCGAAGTGCGAGCGGTTGCGTGCTTAAACGGCTGAGGTCCTTGCGTTCACCCGCTGCAGACAGGTGTACAGCGCAGGCGAATCACAAAAATCTGCCAAGAGGCCAAGATTGGGCCAACAGCTTTTGCCAGCATAGACCATCGGATGAGAAATAACAAGCTGTGTGAAGTTGCAATTATTTTGAGTTAGGTGGCTTTGCGCTGGCTAAAATCCCATCATGTTGTGTCGACAATCAACAAAAGCCTTTTTGTCATTTAAAGGCTGCGCCTTGAGCGCAAGGCCAACCTCCTTTTCTTTGGGCCGGTGAGATTGTCCAGTCGCACTACAAGCAAATCTGCCGAACTCTACACACAGGTTTGAGTAGTCTTAGGCACGAGCTCACCTGTTTACGCGGACCAGAATAATTTCTGCTACAGTACGCAGGGTGTTCAGGAAAGGGGCTTGCATACATCAGCTGCGTGGTCTCAACTTTCTGTGCCGTGGATTGAACTCGACACCTTCTTCTAACCACCGTCGTGCTGCAAAGTTCAGGTGCGTGTTGACCGAAAGTTGTGCGTGTGTGTGTGTGTGGCTCAGCCAAGTTGAGGGGTTTCAAGGGCCTTGGGGAAAACAGGCAAACTTCAACAAAAGGTGCGCGAAAACAAACAACAACTTTGGTATCTGATTGCAGCTGGCCCGACAAGCAGCTGCGGATCCCTCGGATCAACTGCTCCACATTTTTGGTGTTGGGAAGCTTCATTCTCCATGGGCCATGCCTAAAATGGCAGCTCCGCGGCGGCAGCAATCTATCAGCTTCCTGCAAGGCCCGCCTCCCCCCCCAATCAGGGCAGCTGCGCATCAGGATTACCGCTTCATCGGCTGTGTTCGCCCTTCGCCTATTGAATATTGCCCCTTGGCATTGGAAGTTGACACTGCGCATCCACTTTTCATATTATGCATTCGCCCCAGACCGTGCCCCCGCGCCCTTACTACAGAAGATCTGTGCAGACCCAGGAGCTATGCAAACGTTTCGCGGGTTGGAGTCTGTTAAAGCAATTTTGCAAGACCTTTGTGGCCATCCCGGACCTGGGCAACACTAACATCGAATCCCACTCTCAACTCTGGGGGATGTAGCACACAGCGCATGTAGGCGAACAATATACAAGCAAAACTTCTTGTGGGCACAGGCTGAGAAATATTTCAACAGCCCTTTCAAGCAAATTGAGTTTGTTTTGCACTTGGTCCAGCTGATAAAGAGCTTTCTGGCTTAGCATATCGCTTTGGGTCAGCCGCTCTTGGCTGGTGCGCTGACTGCTGGCTGGCCTGCCGTAATGTCAGGCTAGCGTACGGCCCGGGTATTTCTCAAAAGCCATGCCATCTGTTTGAGCGGCTTCACGGTTTCGCGCCCTCTTTTCAGAAATCCGACCTGCAGCAAAAAAGATTTCAATTTCGGGCGTCCACTTTCAAAATGATGGAAAGTGGCACGGGATCGATCAACTTAGGAGCAAGGCATGCTTCCAGGGCTTGAGGTGCACTCCACATTCCCTGAGGGGGTGCCACTGACGCAGTGCTAATAAACAAATGGAATTCGCGGAAGTTGTCAAAGGTGGCTCGAATTCGGGCGGGCGTGCACCCGCCCCTCAGTTCCGGGTGGCGGGTGGTGCATAAGTGGAAATGGCCGGGGGGGGACCCTGAATGCGAACGCGTATCTGCAGGCATTTGGGAGGCGTACAGGGGCAAGGCATGTGAATTTGGCTGAGTTGCGCATAACTTAACCCTGTTCTTGGCAATCGGGCGATGGAAGCCCTTCGAGCACATTATTGCAAGCATATTCGGATAGGGAGTCGGCAAAAGGACATAAACGGACCACCCTGTTGGGAACAGAATTCAAATCTTTCGAGGGGCATGCTCGGGTAACAAGTATGTAGATATGGACGCTATATACCTCCTAATATGGCAAACTGCCTTGCACACCTATATTGGTGGTATACAAGCCTCTTCGTACCTCCTCCAAAAATCATAGCTGAAAATGCGATTGCTCTTTAGCCATGTCTTAGCAGGCAGTTGTCAGTGCTCAGCTGACCAAGAGTGAGCCCGGCCATCGTGCAAGCTTCTTCAGCTTGAGGTTTTCTTTCTAGTACAAGCCGGAATTCACGTGCCATTATCTTGAACACTGGGTAAGGTTCGACGTGAAACTAGTTTGTCAAGAAGAATTCAAACCCAACGAACCACAGTGCACCGCAACCCTTTTCAGGTTCCGCTTAAAGTGCCCTTTCATTCTCAGTTGGCCCGGGCAGAAACACACGATCTGCGATGATACCCCCCACCCCTAATAAGATGGAATTGCTAATGAGATTCCAGGGGTAACCCCCCCTCAATCACTGCGCTGGGTCATATGAGATGCTGTTGAAGTTGAAACCTGAAGATGTGCCTTAACTGGTCCTTTCCGTGAAAGGCCTTGTTGTGTGGTCGAAAGTTGCAAGCTCAAGATGCTCTGCGTGTCACATTTGCGCGCTGTGCATCTTGAATTAAAACTGTTCTGGGCTTTCACAGACTCCGTCTTTGCTCTCACGGTTCGGGCAGTGCGTCGGGCACAAGGGTGTTCGGAGCGGCCGGAAGCGTCCCCGCACCGACCTCTGGCTCTACAAGGTCAACAGCTTCGCCTTCACCGCTTTGCGTGGCTGGGAGGGGGGCAGATTCTTGCGGCTAGGAAGTCCCCCAACCTTCCTCGCTGCCTTTTCTAGCCTGCTCGAAAGCCCGGGGCCCTAATCACAAGCCGGAATCTGCTTCATCCTTGTTCTGGTTGGATATCTTCTTAATGCAAATAGTGGGTCAAAACGTCGTGGTGGAGCATCGCAAATCCACGCAACCCATAATCTGCAACCCGCAAGCCGAATGATCTAATCCGTACACCGCATAATCCGCAATCCTCTAATCATTGGGGACTAGGTTTTAAACAAGTTGCCTGAAAACCTGCAATCCCCCTGCTTCTGAAAGCTGCGGTAAGCCCAAATGTCATCACAATGTAATCAGCCTGTTAGATGTGCGAGCGGGACCGCCTGGCCGCCTTTTGGCTGCGACACGAACCCACAAGCATGGGATGAGATGAAGGGTATTGGCTCACGTGGAGGCCCCTTGTCACATATCCAACTCCGCTCCGCCTTGCATTGACTGAGCGATAGGCTAAGCAGACTTCAACTGCACTCTTGCACGGGAAACGGTCGCTTGTCCAAGCAAGACCAGGCCTTGCAAGGCAAGGATATTTTGCCACCTTTTCGGCATGCAACATCTCTGTTTCCAGATTCTGCAACCTGTTGTCTCTCCATAAGGCTGCGCTCCGCTGCATCTTGCAGTGACTGAGCAACTAACTAAGCAGACTTCAACTGCACTCTTGCACGGGAACCGGTCGCTTGTCTGAGCAAGGCCACGCTCGCTTGCCTGGCAAAGCGCGAGATTTTGCCACCTTTCCGGCGCATGCAACATCTCTGTTTCCAGAATCGGCAACCTGCTGTCACTCCATAAGGCTGCGCTCCACTGCATCTTGCAGCGACTGAGTAATTAACTAAGAAGGTCGAAGCTAGCGCGAAAATGATTTGGAAACGCGTCTGCACGGGAACACATCGCTTGTCAAACCAAGGCCATACTCGTTTCATTTGCAGGGCTGTGAAGGTGGCCCATCTTTCGGACGTCTTCAACAATCAAGTCACATGGGTTGCAAAGTTGCAAGCGCGCTCCCAGGATTTCTGCCGTGAGCGGAGAGACACACATGTAGTTTGCGCATGGCCAACCCATGGATTCCTGCCACTGGTTAGGTGATGCCGCTAGGCCAAACACATACCACGATATTCTCCTTGGCATGCGCCACGTGTGCAAGTGGCCTGGTTTATCTGATGAGAACTGCACAACCTCCATGTTGATGCTCAACTGTCTGGCCCCGCATAAAGATTCAACAGCTGATTGTTCTGTGACCCATTGTGACATGATATGCCATGTGAAACGCATGCTGGCGGCAAGGTGCGGACACAAATTTACGTAATGCCACCTACGAGGAACAAACTGCCCCTAAATAATTCTAAACATTTCCTCAAACTCAATAATAACCTACCCTAAATGCTTCTAAACAACAACCAACAAATATGGCGGAACAAGCTTTAAAACACTATCAAACAAATAAAATGCCTTCAAATAAGCACACATTGCTCGGCTGACAAAATTTGATGACTAACCCTTCAGAGTGGCTGCGTGAATGA